TTACAACCGACATTTACGTTTATATATCATCCAACCTTGTAAAAGATAGATAGATAGATAGATAGATAGATAGATAGATAGAAACAGAATGAGATAGATAGATAGATAGATAGATAGATAGATATGAACTAAATGCGATAGATAGATAGATAGATATTAACTAAATGAGATAGATAGATAGATAGATAGATAGATAGATAGATAGATATGAACTAAATGCGATAGATAGATATGAACAGAATTAGATAGATAGATAAATAGATATGAACAGAATGAGATAGACAGACAGATAGACATCAACCTGAGATAGATAGATATATAGAGAAAGATAGACGAACAGAATGAGATAGATAGATACATATAAATAGATAGATAGATAGATAGATATGAAGAGAATTATATAGATAGATATGAACACAATGAGATAGATAGATAGATAGATAGATAGATATGAACACAATGAGATAGATAGATAGATAGATAGATAGATAGATAGATAGATAGATAGATAGACATCAACATAATTAGATAGATAGACGAACAGAATGATATATGATGTCACATGATATATATTTTTCTATATATATATATATTGATAGATAGACGTGAACAGACTGAGATAGATAGATAGATAGATAGATAGATAGATAGATAGATAGATAGATAGATAGACAGACAGACAGACAGACAGATAGATAGATAGAGAGATAGATACTAAAAGACAATATTTCTTGACTATTTAAAAGCAACGCCTCTAATATATTACTCGTAATATTCCCATTTGACAAGACAGGATAAAAATTCCGTTTTCTCGAAAAAGAAACTAAAGGACAAGAATACGCGGCATTCCGAACAACAAGGAATTACTTTTTTTTTTACCGAAATCGATCGAAACATTCTTCTCTTGCAACCTCAAATAATTACACTTAACAAAATTTGCCCAAACACTGCGTCTGAAAATAATTCTATTTTTTCTTTCTTTTTTTTTTTTTTAGCGAAAATTAATCGTTTTTCTCTGACGGTTTCGCATTTAACGGGGCATTTAACAGCGCCATGATTATAAGGGCAATAAAACGATTGGCCAAACAACAAGAAATCTGTACAAATGGGAAGAAAAATAATGTAATAATATTTGACGCCTTCATTTTCTTTCTTTCTTTTTTCTTTCTCTCTCTCCTCCCCCTTCCCCCCAACTTCCCTCTTTTTTGTTTTTTTTCTATTTTTTGTTTTCCCGAAGAAACGGATAAATCTTCATGAAGTCTAAAACTGCTCTTTCACTTGTAACGGCGTCATGAATAAATGAATGAATTAGCGAAGGGTCATATCTGCAAGCAGTTCCATTCACAAGAAAGATATTGATAATTCCTTAAGATGGAGATCAATATCTTCGTTTTGGAATTTCAAAATTAATAACGTTCTCTTGTGGAACCACATCTCTGACAATTGAAGAACAAAAGGCACGACCATCGTTCGAACTCTGATTAAATGTTTTCTTTTTTCTTTAAAAAAAAAAAATCACAAAGCATTTTGATGTTACCTGATAACACTTTGCAAACGATTCCACAAAAGCATAGTTTCACATTGGAAAAGTTCTTTTTTTTATCTTTACCCGTAATTTTTTTATTACTATTTTACCTGTTATTTTTTATTTTTATTTATTTTTTTTTTTGATAATCAAAAGCCATTTTTTCTTCTGTTAATCGCGATCAGCAATCAACAAGTTTTTATCTAAATCCGTGTTAGTTTGTTTTTTTTCCGTTTTCTTTTTAGCTACAAACGGATCAGGTAATACGAAAAATCCCTAGTTGATCATAAATTCTTTAAAACTTGATTCTAAGCATAAATGATCAATCGCCTTTCCTCCCGCCAAACACGAACACTAACTCACGTTTCTGGATATTTATCACAGAATCTGCATTTTGGGGCAAACATAATTTTTCAGTATGCGTGCTTGGTAATTTCTAGTTAGCAAGCATTGGTCCTGTGGAGTAAAAATAAGACATTCGGTTTTCAGCTACGGGCTGGGCTGAATATTGACCATGAAGCAATTATTCCTGTCATCGTTTCTGTAACTGGTTAATTGTATTTGCTTTTGCGTCCTTTTATAAGGTTTTTGCAGCTGCAGTAGGTGTATTATGCTTTGCTTGAATTTCTTCACCCACTTGATCTCCATTTCGAACTTGTTGGCTTCCTTTATTACTGAATAAAGTTTCTCACTTCTTTCATGTTCTTTGACACAAATCATCATCTAATCTTCTGTAATTTTCAGCTATCTTTGACGACCGATTGTCGTTGATTTGCAAGATAGTTCTAGTTGAACTAATCCTCTGCCTTCTTCGGATCTGGACACATACAGACAATCAAAATGAGCCATAGGATAATTCATCCGGTGGAAAGTGAGAAGCTTTCTCGTTTTGGTATTGATTCGCTTAATATCAGCTATGGTCTAGTTAAGGATGTTTAAACTGTATTGCAATACGGGCACAGCCAAGGTGTTTATGGCCGATATTCTGTTTTTTTTTGTTTTTTGTTTTTGTTTTTAATTCAGCTCGGTATTCAATACCAGACGCACACGCCTGTAGCGTTCTTTTCTTACTTTCCCCTTCATTTTGGTATGCTGTATTCCATCTACTTCGCTAATTCTCAGGTGCCTGTAGGCTTCTTCTTCTTCTTCTTCTTCTTATTATTATTATTATTATTATTATTATTATTATTTTCTTTGATTTCTGGCGTTTACACATTTCTTTTCGTGTCCCGCACAGGGACTTAAGGTTAGAAATGGCGTCATGACACTTTCCACTGACAGAAAAAAAGAATTAAATTACATAGATAAGCATGTTTGGATTGAGGTTAGGTCTTATATCATTTCCCACCGTACTTCTCCATATTTGGTATGTCTGATTGGTGGTGTTCTTTGCTGGGTTTTCGAGTGCAGTGAAGAAGGATGTCATGACTTATCGATACTCTTCGCGGCTCCATTTCGTTCCTTTACTTTTTATTAGTCGATTTGGTATTGAGACACTTGGTCCAAGATTGGCAATAATCCGGGTTTGGTGACCAAGTGTCTTTTCGTGTGTGGAAGAGTTTGTTCCAGTGGCAGACTTTTCGTCCTCAGACTGGTTCCTCTCCGGGGGACGCGGCCCTTGTTGTCCCGGTTGACGGCCGATCCGGTTTGAAGTATTATTCGTATTCATTGAAATTGGTAGAGATGCTTTTTAACCTTGACCGCCAAGGGGTAATTATGTTCAGGTTACCAGCTATAGGGCGAGTCTCGAAGAAGATCCAAGAGCACGCCCAAACAATGAGATTGTGGATTTATTAATAGAACGAAGGTAGAATAGTTCATAAGAGTGTATGGTATCCAGTGGGAGAGACGATATTATTATTATTATTATTATTGTTTCCTTTGATTTCTGGCGTTTACACATTTCTTTCCGGGTCCCGCCCAGGGACCTAAGGTTAGAAATGGCATCATGACACTTTCCATTGACCAAAAAAAAAAAAAAAAAAAAAATTTACATCGCTAAATCCCTTCGTAAAGTGTGGGCTGTACTTGTCAGAACAATTTTTTTGGATCTCTTTGAGGCATGGACTTCCAGGAATCCCTTCAATGAGTCTATTGGAATATTTTCCAACCAATCCTTGGGCTCCAACTACAACAGGGATTGTTGATGTTCCCATGTACCACATTTTTGAGATTTCTGTTTCAAGATCCTTGTATTTTGACAGCTTTTTGAATATCTTCAAAGATACATTGTAGTCAGCAGGGACTGTCATATCAATAAGGAGGCACCATTTTTTAGTTGTGGTCTTTAATAACAATGTCTGGGCGTTGGCTTTCATTGTTTTGTCTGTGTATATTGTGTAGTCCTATAGAATTGTAACAGGTCCTATCGCCGTAACCGGATTATTATTATTATTATTATTATTATTATTATTATTATTATTATTATGTACGTGATTTTTTCATCGTCTAATACACTTAATTTTATATTTTCGCATATATACTCATATTACAGAGTTATTCACTAAGCCAGATTCTTCTATTCACATTAAAAGTACTTTTATTCAAATAAAAGAGACCATTATTCAAAATAAAATGAAAATGACATTATTTATTGAACAGATTATTTTATGCAATATAAAGAAGTCTATATTCAAAATAAAAGACAATCTTTTTCAAAGTAATTACCAAACCCACAACTGATATGTATGGGATTTTTTTCTTTTAAAAAAAGGAGAAAATGTTTTAATCTTTGATTTAAAACTAATATTTAGTATTTTCTATTTTAATTTTTAAAATTGTTTGAACCTGTGTCTTTAATTTTGTGATTCTGTTTCAACCCTAGTTAAGATGTTAATATTTTAAAATATAGGTCAAAGTTTAATATTAACTGTCTTCTTGAACCAGACCCTCCTCGTACCATGATATTGGAAGTTTGTTTAAATCTATGTCTATTTTCTCATCTGCAGCTTCCATTTTTGTTCTTTGTTCTCTCTTTCATTTTTTCTTTTTCTCTTTCCTCTTTCTCCCCTCTTTTCCTTTTTATCTTTAGATGTTTTAATGTTTTTCATTTCTTTACACCTCTGTGTCGACACAGCCAATAAGTAAGACTTGTTGGCGGAAATAGCTATTTGAATGAGGTAATTTTTCGGATTTCCATTCTATGTAATATATATATATATATATATATATATATATATATATGAAGAAAATATATACGGAAAAAACAAACAAAAATCCTTATATACAATTATGCTGTTTTAATGTTAATATGTCAACGTCGGACGTTTCGGTCTAATAAACCATCTTCAGGACATATTCATAAATTATAACATTATCAATACAACATGACAAAGACGATGTACATAAGAACAAGACTTATCCAAACAAATAACTGAAAGTTTTATAAGATCACCGCCCCGTTTAAAACATGTTCACGTTGTCGTCACGTGGGCGACGCTGTGAAAACGTATTTCTAGAATTTGAGTATTTTCAACCTGTGTCTTTTAATTTTGTGATTCTGTTTCAACCCTAGTTATAATATATATATATATATATATATATATATATATATATATATATACACATATTACGTAGACTGGAAATCCGAAAATTATTTCATATATAAATCGCCTCTAAGTTGTAGTTCTATGTTCATTATATATATATATATATATATATATATATATATATATATGTGTGTGTGTGTGTGTGTCATATATATATATAAATATATATATGTTCTATATTCTTATATATATATATATATATATATATATATATATATATATATATATATGTTCTATGTTCACTTATATATATATATATATATAATTATATTCATTTTTTTAAAATATGATTCCTTCGCTACATAAGAGTTGTCATGTTTCAAAAACAAGAGCCATAAACTTCAATATAATTGTTAAAATTAAATTGAATTAAAGTATCAAGCTTTATTATTATTATTATTATTAGAGATTCCATTATTTTTCGTCTTTTTTTTTTTAAAATGGATGTGGTTATTATGTTTGTGTTTTTTACTAGTATGTTTCGAATGGAGAATATATTATTTTATGCACAGTCTTTATTGGAAACTACTCAATATCAGTGATATAGCTAACATCATCATCAGACAGTTTGATGTCCGTAAAAGCGTGAAACCCAGGATCACAAACTCGGATTCATATATATATATATATATATATATATA